TCAGAGCTTCAGCCCTCTGGAGTTTGTGGGAGAGGGAAGGGACCCATCCAGCCGTACCCAGCTGTCTCCCCATTTTAGCTTCCTCTCTCTCTGGTCCTGGGGTAGGGGCCTGCCCAGCTGTTTCCACTTATAGCTCCCCCTCTCTCTGGGCAGAGGGAGTCGGGGCAATAGCTCAGTCTGCAGGCTTTTATTCAACTCTGTGTTTGTAATTCTCGGCACTTGAGTGGCAAAGATCCCCTGTTTTGTGTATTGCTGAGGCTTTGGGGGAAGGGCTGTAGCTGGACCAGAGTGCCCAAGGGGAGCCTCTGACTCACTAGTCAGATGCACTTTCTGGGCAAAGCAGCACCCTTCCCTGCGTCAGTTTGCCCTGAGTGGGCTTTGCTCACCTTTGGACCTGACCCACTGAAATGCACCTGGTACCTTGGTTGGAGCTAGGAGATCTCTGGATTTCTGTGTCTCTCTCACAGAGTGCTGTGTGCTGGAGTTGTGTCTAATTGGCCATCTGGGATCTCCCACAAGCATTCCTATACACCAATAACAGACTTAAAGAGAGCCAAATCAAGAATGAACTGCCATTCACAATTGCTATAAAGAGAATAAAATACCTAGGAATACAACTAACAAAGAATGTAAAGGACCTCTTCAAGGGGAACTACAAAGCACTGCTCAACGAAATAAGAGAGGACACAAACAGATGGAGAAACATTCCATGCTCACGGTTAGGAATAATCAATATAATGAAAATGGCCATACTGCCCAAGTTAATTTATAGATTCAATGCTATCCCCATCAAGCTACCAATGACTTTCTTCACAGAACTGGAAAAAACCACCTTAAACTTCATATGGAACCAAAAGAGAATCCGCATAGCCGAGTCAATTCAAAGCAAAAAGAACAAAGCTGGAGGCATTGCCACATATCTGTAACCATCTGATCTTTGACAAACCTCACAAAACCAAGCAATAGGGAAAGGATTCCCTGTTTAATAAATGGTGTTGGGAAAACTGGACCCTTCCTGACACCTTACACTAAAATTAACTCCAGATGGATTAAAGACTTAAACATAGGACCTAACATCATAAAAACCCTGGAAGAAAATCTATGCAAAACTATTCAGGACATAGACATGGGCAAGGACTTCATGACTAAAACACCAAAAGCATTGGCGACAAAAGCCAAAATAGACAAATGGGATCTAATTAAACTCTAGAGCTTCTGCACAGCAAAAGAAACTATCATTACAGTGAATCGGCAACCAACAGAATGGGAAAACATTGTTGCAGTCCGTCCATCTGACAAAGGGCTACTATCCAGAATCTACAAATAACTAAAACAGATTTACAAGAAAAAAGCCCAGTCAAAAGTGGGTGAAGGATATGAATAGACACTTTACAAAAGAAGACATACATGAGGCCAACAAACATATGAAAAAATGCTCATCATCACTGGTCATTAGAGAAATGCAAATCAAAACTACATTGAGATACCATCTCACACCAGTTAGAAGGGCGATCATTAAAAAACCTGGAGATAGCAGATGCTGGAGAGGATGTGGAGAAATAGGAACACTTTTACACTATTGGTGGGAGTGTAAACTAGTTCAACCATTGTGGAAGACAGTCTGGCACTTCCTCAAGGGCATAGAAATAGAAATTCCATTTGATCCAGCAATCCCATTACAGGGTATATATCCAAAGAATTATAAATCAATCATTCTACTATAAGGACACATCAATAGCAAAGACTTGGAACCAACATAAATGCCCATGGGTGAGACTGGACAGGGAAATTATGGCACATATACACCATGGAATACTATGCAGCCATCAAAAACGATGAGTTCGTGTCCTTTGTTGGGACATGGATGAACCTGGAAACCAACATTCTTAGCAAACTTAAAAGAAAGCCAAACGTCGCATGTTCTTACTCATAGCTGGGTGTTGAACAATGAGAACACATGGCCACAGGGAGGGGAGCGTCACACACTGGGGTGTGTGGGGGGGGCTACTAGGGGAGGGACAGCAGGGGGTGGGGAGCTGGGGAGGGATAACATGGGGAGAAATGCCAGATATAGGTGATGGGGAGGAAGGCGGCAAACCACACTGCTATGTATGTACCTATGCAACAATCCTGCATGTTCTTCACATTTACCCAAGAACCGAAAGTGCAATACAATATATGTGTGTGTGTGTGTGTGTGTATTTATATATATAAATTTATATACATATATATAAATTCTACCATGACTATCCATCTACCCCTTAGGTTCCATACTCAGTATGTGGAATAGGCACAATTTGGAGTGCCTTTTTGTGTGTACAGGGATGAGAGACCCACATCCTGGAAACTGAGTGCACAGCTACCTGGAATCGAACATGGGATATGCATGCCAACATGTAGCTGGAACATGAGGTTGCACATTTACTAATTTAATAATTTTTTGTTACTGTAGTTAGCTGCCATTTGAGTGCAGTTCTACAAGAAGACAAAAGGAAATTGATTCCTGATACACACAGTATGGCCACAAGATTTTGTTACTTTATAATAAAAAGGCTAGGCCAGAATTGGTGGCTCACGCCTGTAATTGTAGCATTTTGGGATGCCGAGACGGACAGATTGCTGGAGGTCAGGAGTTCAAGACCAGCTTGAGCAACATGGCAAAACCCCGTCTCTACACAAAAGAAAAGAAACTAGTCGGGCAATGTGGCACGTCTGTAGTCCCAGTTACTGGAGACGATAACAACTTGAGCCTGGAGGCAGAGGTTGCAGTGAGCCGAGACTGTGCCACTGCACTTCAGCCTGGGTGACAAAGCAAGACCCTGTCTGTCTCAAAAAAGAAAAAGCTGTATTAATTACTTCATCTTCTCTAGCCTAAATGTTGCATGTCTAAACTAGGGATAATGATGTCCTCTTTAAAAGGCTTCATGTGTGTCCAGTGCACTTAAAATACTTCACATAATGCATACCTCATGTTCCAGAAAGGCGAGTTATTTGTAAATGGGCTTCGAATTGTGTTTTAAAAAATCCTACAGGTCTAGTTGTCAGTCCCTGGCCATAAAATTGATCCATAACTCTTTCTTTAAATATACATACATATGGCTTATGGAATAATACTGGACTTTTCTTGCTCCAGTTTCTCACTCAGCACACGAGAAGCTATGCGTAAGGGTGCAAGCACATATGTGCCTGGGCAGCTGTGCGGCTTCGTAATTAAAGAACATGCCTGGCCATCAGGTTGATGTCACCACATATTAAATCTGGCAAGTTTCAGAATTGTTACTTCTACCCAAGCAGAAAGGCTTCATGACACATAAATCGGAGGTTTGCTTCAGTTCAGCACTTAGCATTGAAAGTCTGGTATGAAAATAGTCTATACCATTTAATGGCATGTCTAACTTCGTAAAGCTGAGAAAAACAGTCAGCAGAATAATTCTCCTGGTCTTACAACTTAGAGCCCTATCATGTAGAGAGTTGAATGATGCCCCTGTTAAAATTGAGAACAAACTGACTGTTGAAATGGTAGTGGCTGGCAAAAGAAACAGGAAAAAAATAATCACCAATTGATAATCCTTGCTTATCCCAGGAAAATGAAAACAATTATATAACAATCAGTATTTAGTTCTGATTGAATCCGTTTATCTTTTTTGTGTAATATTATGTAACCGCTGAAATAGTCTAATCTGTATATATTAATATTGAAAGAACTCTATAAAAAGCCAATTAAAAATGACAGGTGCATCATGATATTCACACAAAAATGTATACAATACTGTGAATACTCTAAATGAACACCTACTAAATGTATAGACATGAATATGCAAAATAAAACTATAAACAACAATCTGTAAAAGTGGCTTCTTCTGAGAAGGAGGTAGGAAACCAGGGTGGCAATGGGGTTATTTTAAATATATTTTAGACATATCTGTAATTTCTTTTTACTTTTAAAAAATCTGAAGTTTTAATTGCACATGGAAATCCACAAGTCTAAAATTCCATATATCTCCTTTTGATATAACAAAGTTATATTACTTTTATGAACCTATAAGTCAAAGACAAAACATTGCCAGTCTCACAACTGAACACAACCATTAGCATTTTGGCATACTATAATTTATCTGAAGTTATGCTGTAAATATGTATTTCAATTTTTTATCACAAGATCCTTTATGGTCTTTATTCTGCTCATTTTAATGGGTATAATCTACCATGTGTATATACTTCAACTTACTGCATTGCTTCATTTTTTGGTACAAAAATGACAAACAACTATGTGATTAACATAGAGCCAGGTTTGTCCCCCATATATCTATCTTAAGAGATACCGACTCTGAGAAGAAATAATCAAAATGTTTGAACATTTTTAATAACTCATGTGAATGCTTCTTAGAAGCTTTGAGAAGTATCACTGACTAAAAACAGAACTGCATTGTCGTGATGGGGTCTGCAGTACACAGCAATATTCACAACTAGCCCAAAATAACAACATCGAGCAGCCCAGAAAGGAACAAAGAACCCAGTCACACCTTCTGCTAACCCTGTGGAACTCAGACATGAGGTATCCTCCAAACCACTTCAAATGCCTAATCTCCCTAGAGAAGACTAAAAGTCAGAATAAACTGTGACTGTACTTCCAGGAATGATTAATAATCAACAAGGAGATGGTATTGAAAAGCAAAAAAAACCAAACCTCACATTCTCCCCTCAACTTACGATAATAACCAATCAATCAAATGACAAAACTAATTTCCAAGTAATTACTGCATCTCAGTCCCAAACAAGAATTAAGAAAAAAGAAGGATATGCACACTTAACCTGAACAGTCCATTTGCCTTTGTTGTGAAAATGATCTTACTGATGTAGGTGGTTCACTGTAGCAGGTCAGTAGTCAAAACACAGTGCCAATGCACAGGCAAACACAGCTTGTTGTAATAGAATTTCTGGTTAGATTAAAAGATTCAGAGGTAGAGAGGATTTCTTGCAAAAGGCCGATGTGTACTTACCATTTGTATAAGGGTTGACGGTCTTTTTATTTGTCATTACACGTGCTGTGGCATTATTGACCTATGTACATAGAAAACTCAAATAAGCACATATTCTAAGGCCAGCTTCCAATTCAATTAGTTGCATGCATTATGACCGTGATTTACTTATTAAAAAAAGAAAACTAAAAACTAAAATGCATTTTAATTTATAAAAGGCAGTAGGTGCATAACAAAATCATACATTTTTAAAATTACATTTACTTCATAACCATTTAACTTACAAATCATTTCAATAAAGCAATGTCATATCATTAAGAGTTTAATAAAGAGACAGTAAAAGCAAATTAAAAGATACTGCATAATTGAAGATTTAAAAGCATGCGTGTACTCCATGGTAACACAGAAACGATAAATATTTTTTAAACATAAAATAAAGTTCATATGAAGGAGCATGCAGTGGAGAAGAGGGAAGAGACAAAGTACAAGGGAACATAAATGTCAAAAAAAGGGACAAACAAGTCTTAGCCGTGTGCAACACTTCAGGAGGAAAGAACCATCAGGAAAGCAACATCTAGCATTCAACACTTGGAACAAGAGCCTTTTACATCGCAAGAATTAACGAAATCATTCAAGCTTTAAAGTCACAGCTAACGAAAGGATAAAAGAGAAGGGTGCATTGTTTAACACAATATGGAATTAACAATCTGAGTAAGATGTGCACCGGTCATAACTCAATCCAGTCAGTGCCTCCCAGGCTAGCTTAGAGCGTACACTCAGTTACAGGCGTACCAATATCCAAAAAAATAGAGCATCAAGAAAACTTAATACAACAAGTCAAAAAAATTCACGTGGTATATATATATGTATATAGATATATCAGCACTAAGTACGTGAAACGGCAGATGGACTTCACCACTTACCATTCACCGCCATCGCCAGCATGGGTTTGTATACAGTTACCATGGTTACTGAGAGTTTGGTGAGGGGCCTAAGCGTTATCGTCGAAGGGGAAAATGAAAGGCAAAATATGCAACATCTTACTCCAAAGACTAAAGCATTTTTAACTGGTATTTAAAAAAAAAAAGTTTTAACAAATATGACCCTGTGGCTATGTTGCGGGAGATCCCAGTGGTACAAATAGCAGACTCCAAGTGTCAGCATTTTGGCATTTATGCTTTCCATGAACAGGGGCCAGATACTGAACAGGAAATCCTGTTTGATTATTCACTTTGGTATCAAAAGAATACAGAAATTCAAACTGGCTTCTTAAAAAAAAAAAATGAGACATTTAGTAAAACCTCTCATTTTTTTTTTTTTAATCTTTTTGTTTTCCCAATTTGGTTTAATTTGCAAACCACTGTGGATCCCTCTTCAACCCTGAAGTGGAAAGAAAAAGAAAAAGAAACTGTTCTGTATTTTGTTTGGATTGCAACCCTGTCTATTCTTTGGAACCTACTGCACCCATTGATTATAAAACATGGAAATTAACAAAAAGAAAAAAAAAAAACCCTTTACAATTAACCTTCCTTTTGTCTCACGTTTGCCATCCACCTTTCAGCAGTAATAAGATAACATAATAAAGTAAAATTTAAAAAAAAAGTAAGGCCAGTTTTCCTTTTTATATATAAATATATATATATATATAAACGATGAGGGGGAAATAGGGTCACATACAAGACGCCAGTGATGCATCTGGAACAACGAATGAGCGTGAAGCAGACATTTATAAAAAAGAGGAAAAGGAAAATATTTTGAACATGCACCTCGATTTTACGGCCCTCTACCACGGTGCCGTGTAATTTCTCCCTCGCCCTGTCGGCATCGGCACTATTTTCGAAAGTTACGAAACCAAATCCCTGCATGCAGGAGGGAGAAGGGAAAACAACATGCAGATTATTATTTCAGTCAACGACCACTTGGAAACGTTCTCTCGCTTTAATTTCTATTTCTTGTCCTGGCTTCAGTTCTGTAACATGCAAATTAGAGAAATTATAAGAGTCCTGAGATGTGCAATAATTAAGCGACAAATGTGAACAAGATTTTTTTTTCTGTCCCCAGTTAGCTGTAACCCCTGAAGAATTTAAAGAAGGATACCAAAAATACCTTTCTAAATGTCACTATGGAAGAAAATAAATCTAACAAAAAGAAAATGAGATCAAAATAAATGTACAGTGTCTTCACAGAGAATAAAATGAAATAATGAGGAAAAGAAAAGGGAACCACTTTTCTGACATGCAAATTAAAAATAAAATAAAATAAAAACGTGTGCACGAAATTCAACAATGAATGCCAAAATCCTCTAACATTGCCTACAGAGTCATGCTGTGTGGTTTTAAGAACATCTCTTCTTCATGCAGTTTTAGGGTTATTCAAATTTGTCAATTCGACAGCCTTTACTTCTCAAAAACAAAAGTTAAAAGCCTAAAAAAAGGAAAGACCTTTTTTTGGTAATAAATCTTAAGCTCTCTGGTCTAATAAACAAAAAAGTCACATGAAATGAATAGAAATAAATTTCAGTTGATTCAAAATACAAACAATTCAATGTTTGTGTTCATACTTTCCCGCTCTTCAAACTGCATACATGCTTTTGGATTTGACAACCTCCCATATTATTTCATTAACCAGAAAGGGAAAGGTGTACCCACATTGAAAAGTTCTAGCATTAGGTCAGTATTTATTTTTCATATCAACAGGTAACAAAGCAACTTTGTTAATATAATGTAATTTGTAATAACATTCTGGCCACTTCCTCTTTTACTGATAGATAACAAATATACCCTTTAATTCACCACAGGTACATTTGGGTCTTAATAGTTCAGCCTCAAAAAACAACCCCACTAAACTGCATATTGTCAAAATCCATATTTTGTCTTCACTGACATTGTTCCTGAGAGTACAGAAAATGACACATTATTTTTAGAGCCCCTAAAAATATTTGTACATCTTTTTCAGAAATATACACCAACCTTTCGAACAATTTCCATGTAAATTTGCCCAGCTCTTTCTGATTTCTCACTGCAAAGTGGGTGCAATGATGGAGTATTTGGGGGCTCCTCTTAGCGTCAAATAATCCTTGTTGGCTCCAGGCTTAGTTGGAACATTGTAATACTCAGTTTTACCAAAGAAATGCACAATAATTACAAAGGCATGGTAGTTACAATCACCTGCTATAACTCCTAATCCTACATTAGATCTCTATAATGACATCCAAATTTAAGGCTAAAGAGGAATTGTCCAATGGGCTGGCTAAGAGAAAGTTTCAACAGTCAGAATAGGCTCATCAGCAACAGAGGACAGAGATGTGGATCTATTCAAGTGAGGGTACATGATCATTGTTGGGATTCTATAGACGGCTCTATGTCAGTATCCACTACAGATTAGTTACAAGACCCCTGCGCCCCAGATACCCAAATCCTCGCACATCCAGGTCCTGTAGTCATCCCGTGGAACTTGAGTATAGAGGAAAATCAGCTCTCTGTATATACGGGTCGCACATCCTGGGAATACTGCCTTTGGTTGAAAAAAAATTCACATATAAGTGGACCTGCACAGTTCAAACCCATGTTGTTCAAGGGTGAACTGTATCGAGAAAAAATACTTAGCTTTTCTTTGGCAGACTGAACCAAATTACCTTCCATAATCTTTCCCACAGTGAGGATCTGAGAGTGGGATAAGCCTGAATCATCTGATTAATTTAAGTTCGTTTGCTCCATAACAGAACGGTCTCGCCGAGTCTTCTAGGATGCCTACATTGGGTTCCCAAATATGCTTGCTAACTAAATAGCTTGGAAATGATTGTTCTTCAAAGGGAAAAAAGACAGAATTTAGGGGGATTTCGCTCTATTTGACAGTTGTAACTCTTGGCCAGTATATCTCAAGCTTAGCTGCACATCAGAAGGAACTTGGGAGCACATTAAACGTTCAGATTCCCTGGACTTGCTTTGTATCCACTGGATTAGAATCCCAAAATGGACTCGAGAAATCTGTTTGCTTACAGAGCTTAAAATGCATGGCCCAGTGATTTAATTTCCATGACCTCTCATTTCACTATGTGTGATCAAACCCACCAAAAGGAGGTTTTGGGCCAGAGATGGTGGCTCACACCTGTAATTCAAGCACTTTGAGAGGCCAAGGCAGGAGCATCACTTGAGTCCAGGAGTTCAAGGCCAGGCTGAGTAACATGGCAAAACCTCATCTCTACCAAAAAAATTTAGCTGGGTGTAATTGTATGCCCCTTTGATCCCAGCTTGAGCCCAGGAGATTGAAGCAGCAGTGAGCCATGATCACACCCCTGCACTCCAGCCTGGGTGACAGAGCAAGACCCTGTCACAAAATCCCAAACAAAAACTAAAAAACTTAGCCGGGTGTGATAGTCTGCACCTATTGTCTTAGCTATTTGGGAGGCTGAGGTGGGAGCATTCATTGCTTGAGCCCAGGGGGCTGAGGCTGCAGTGAGCTGTGATTACACCCCTGTACTCCCGCCTGGTGGGACTCTGTCTCCCTTGTATCAAAAAGAGAAGATTTTCATTCTTTGTAGTAAGTAGAATTTTATATTGCTGATTTCTATAGATTTCTGAGAAGGATATCTGACTTGGTTACTTGAAGCTTACATGTAGAGGTAAAGCCAAAATCACATGTCCCAGGCTTCTTGGCAACATTCTCTTCCTCCCAGATACGCCTGACTTCCTAGCAACCACAGCCATGCCACATGTTCCAAAAGGAACTACAGAAACTAGTACTGTGGATTTACAGTCTCTCGCTAGGCAGGAAAAGAAAATCCGTAGACCCAGTGTACAGCTGGAGGGCGAGCTGGCATCATTTCTGCCGTGGGAACTAGCAGTCACTGTTAGCACAGCACCAGGAAGAACATAGCCAGGTGACACTGAACACTCACCCACCTGTCCAACATTATCCTCAAGAATCTTGCTCTCACCCTTCGTGTCTGAACCCAAGGCAAACCTACTGCCCTGAAATCAGCATTGTGCACATTTAGGAGAGAAAAAGGTAGAGAGAGAAATAGATTTTGAATACCAAGGAAGGGGCACACACTAAAAAGGAAATAGCCTAATCTGTTCTCATCAAGGTCTCATTTTTAAGTGAAGAGAATATATTGATTCTTTTTTACTATTATTCTCTTTGTTATGATATTCTGCTAAACTTCTCTCTTTTCTTGTCAGCTACTCCGTACTCCTCAAGTTAAGAGATGCTTAGTTGAGATTTGACAAAGCTGGGTCCAGAAAGAGCTTGCCCCAGAAACAGTCCTCGAAATGCCACACAGACTTTCCTAACTGTTCCTTTGGACAATTCTACCTCCCACTGAGACAAGAGAGTGGCATGGTCTCCCTGGGTCATCAGGCTATCAAAATTCTCACCTGGGTGTTGCAACGGAACCAGAGAGACCTCACTGGGTCCTCACCATGAGTGAGGAACCTTTGCTAAGAAGTGCAAGGTGCCAGGCAACATTGAGAGCAGGTGCTAAGGTTGTTTCTTCTGACCCGCCTCATGGTCAGAATTCTAACTCAAGAAAACAGCAATTGGCAGTTTTTAAAAAGATGATGAATATTTTTACCTCTGCCTTAAAAAGCAGAATAAAACAAGCACATTCCGAGCTTGGCTTGCTGAGCACAGGGCTGGGTGTGATGCTGATGTGTAACTGCTTAAAAAATCCAGACTGCAAGAAAAGGGGTACAGAGAGGGGCATCAGAGACACACCTTCCCAGAGTTTACCTTCAATGCTACTAAAGAGAAGAAATCTGTGGCCTGAGCCCTGTCATGAGCAGGGAAAATTAGTAGGGCAGATAATGGGAATCTTAAGAGGATTGCCAGACTGGCATGACTTGCTTACTTTAAAATATTTTTGTAAATCATACATTCTGATCCTCCTGTATCCTAGTTATTGTTCTTTTTTTGTCTTTGGTATTTTTAGGTGATAGCTTCCTTTCTTGCATTCATGCAAATACAACATTTTATCTTCTATTTTTTTTGAGACCAGTCTTGCTCCATTGCCAGGCTGGAGTGCAGTGGCACAATCTCGGCTCACTGCAGCCTCCGTCTCCTGGGTTCAAGTGATTATCCTGCCTCAGCTTCCTGAGTAGCTGGGACTACAGAGGTGTGGCACCATGCCCAGCTGACTGTTGTATTTTTAGCAGAGACGGGGTTTCACCATGTTGGCCAGGATGGTCTCCATGTCTTCACCTTATGATCTTCCCGCCTCAGCCCTCCAACGTGCTGTGATTACAGCTGTGAGCCACTATGCCCAGCCTACCATTTTATATCTTAAATAAAGGCTTAATTAAAGCACCGTGGCTGGATGAATATACTGATTTTTCATCTTACATGAAAAATCCAGTCCTCTAGTTTCTTGTGCAGAGAACTCATATTTAGAATAGGGAAGCTGTTGATGAGCGGGTGAAGATTCCTTTTCCAGTGGGACTCTAAGCCTCTCATCTCTCTTTTCTTCCAGTGACCTTTGCACATGCAACTCCTTCTGTCTGCAAGACATGCCTATTTCCCCTTCCTGGGAAATTCTTACTCATCTCTCTCTCTTAGCTTAAATGTTCCTTCTTCCCAGAAGACTTCTGACCTTCTCATGGTATCAGTCCCTGTCTGGACTCTTAGCAGCCTCTCACATCACTGAAGAACAGCATAGGGTACTGCAATCACCCATCATCCTAGTCCATCTCCCCTGCTACTCAGGAAAGCCCAGGAGGACACGAAGTACTTCTCTCTTACGGTTAGCCCTCATGAAAAGCAACAAATATTTAAATCTACTGAATCCAAGGTTTAACTGTGGATTTCATTTCTCCTTTTCTTTTCTAGATGGAGTCTTGCTCTGTCACCAGGCTGGAGTGCAATGGCACAATCTTGGCTCACTGTAATATCCACCTTCTGGGTTCAAGCAATTCTACTGCCTCAGCCTCTTGAGTAGCTGGGACTACAGAGGCGTGCCACCATGCCCTGCTAATTTTTTGTATTTTAGTAGAGATGGGGTTATACCAGGTTTGCAAGGATGGTCTCAATCTCCTGAACTTGTGACCTGCCTGCCTCGGCCTCCCAAGTGGTGGGATTACAGGTATGAGCCACCACGCCTAGCCAGATTTCTTAAGTATATACTTAGGGAGTAGCTATATCTGTCTATGGCCCCCAAATAAACTTTATCAGAGGTAAACGAGATGGTTGGGTACACCTCCTAAAAAGCAAAAATATAGGATCATTCGCCCTTAAATGCTTACTAACTCTTTCTATCTGACATATCTCTTTAAAATGTAGTGTGTCTGCCTTGCTATTCATACATTAAATACTTATGTGATACATTTCCAAAATAATATCGATACTGCCTGTGCATGTATAGTTTTGGTTGGTTGTTGAGAGAAGGTCTCACTCTATCACCCAAGCTGGAGTGCAGTGGTAGGATCATAGCTCACTAAAGCCTTGACTTCCTGGGATCAAGCAATCCTCCTGCCTCAGCCTCCCAAATAGCTGGGACTGCAGGTGTGTATTACCATGCCCAGCTAATTTTTAATTACTATTTTATGAAGATGGGGGTCTCACTATGTTGTCCAGGGTGGTCTTGAACTCCTGGCTTCTTGAACTCCTACCTCAGCTTCCAAAAGTGCTGGAATGTCAGGTGTGAGATACCACATCCAGCCCTCAAGTACGTGTAAGGTATATATGTCTGCATACACACTCACACATACACACGTAACACACACAGCCTTCATCACTCAGCGTAGAGTGGCCTGCCTGAAGGACTGCTATCGAGAATGAAAGGCAAGAAGGTGAGTACCTGGCTCTTCAGGACCCACTAATTTCCTGGCTGGCTGTCCAGCACCAAATGATGAAAATGAGGTCATAGAAATGGTTCAGGTTTCTAAACCATTAAAATGAAAATGTTCCCCTAAATAAGGCCCTTTCCCATAAAGGATAATGTCAAGAATGAAAAATATCCCTGTGTGAGCTGCTGCTCCCATTTAGCGGTTCCCAACTGGACTGTCTCAGTGACATTCTGGCAGAACCTAAACAGTCAGCTCCAACACCTGCAAGACAAGCTCTTTGAGAGCGAGCCTACCCACCGAGTGAGGCTATTTTGGATGTCTCCTAAACCAAAAGAATAAAGATCAAAAAAAGGCAGCTTCACAAAGTCAGGCTCTGGATGCAGCAAATTTAAATGGTCTTTTTCCTGGAGCCCCCAGAGACAGGCTGATCATGGGAATGACGGAAGATGTCTTAAAAATAGCATCGCCATTGTACTTTCAAAATAGCGAATGATATTCTTCTAATGTCCCAAAACAGCTCTCTGAAGGAATTAAATAGCTTTCTTCAACTGGCTAAAGTTACAAAACAAAATATAAATTAAACATAGATTTACAAAAAAAAAAACAAAACCCACATCTTTGAAGGCAGTGCTGTTCTAGACAGACTTAGAACAAAGTTGGTCAACATTCAGGTCATCTACAATTTTGCCAACAATACAGAAGGCCCGAGTGAACAGGATTAGACTGGGCACATTTTTTTTTCTCTAAATGCACTATGCTTTGCAGGTATAGAAATAGTCCCTGTAATAAGTTTCATACAAGAAGCCAGAAAAGAGATAAGTTGGAGAATGATCGTAAAATATCTGAAGCTATGGAAAAATGACAAGGTCCCTGAATGAGCAGAATCACAATGTAATGGATTCTTTTTTGCTTTTGTTTTCACTCATCTGACAGATGACAATATCACTTTGGCCATGGAGGAGAGAATACTGGGATTTTCTGTCCTTGATGTGATCAACATCGTCCTAGTTAATTAGTACTACATCTACTTAGGAGGGAGGAAGCCTGTCCAAGGAATAAAAAAAAAATCAAAGGTTTGCTTCATGGGGGAAAGTGGCTATATAAACCCCAAAGAGCTGGCACTGTGGCCTGCAACACTCCAAATAAAACCAGTACTGCTTAGTGACTGTCCATGGTGCTGACTTGCCCCAAATTGCCTGTCTAAGTCAAGGGGCTGAAACCAGGATCTCTCAACATTTGCATTCACAGTCGTCTGAGGAGAACGGAACTCAAAATTCCTGACAGCCTTGCGACTGGCAGCCAGGAGACCCGACAGAGCTAACCAGGTCACTTTCTGGTTACCAAGGTCCATATCTCTGTTCTTCTCCATCATCTCTCCCTGCTACCCTGCTGTGTCTGCTGATAAGCCTCCTGTGTTGTTTTCCTCAGTGGGGATTTTCATGGGGTTCCTGAGTGTTGTGTACATGTAGGTAGAAAGAAGACACCTGAACAGCAGCAACAACAAAAGCCAAACACTAATAAGCAGCAGGGCGTGTTACATTCATGGGGGAGGTTTGGCATTGGTCTAAAAGGAAAGACACAGCATTGATTGTTTTAAGGACAGGCCTGGAAGTCTGGTTACAACACAGATTGCTGAGCCCCAGCTTGACAGTTTCAAATTCAACAGGTCAGGGCCGGAGCCTGAAAACTTGCATTTCTAATCAGTTCCTAGGTGGTGCTCATGTTCCTGGTCTGGGACCACCCTTGGTTAATCACTGACACAGAGGAGGCTTTAGTAGTTTGTGTTTCTTTCTTTTCCCAGCATATTTCTTTCTTTTGTTTGTTTGTTTTCAAGAAAGGATCTTGCTGTGTCGCCCAGACTGGGGTATACTGGTGCAATCTTGGCTTACTGCAATCAACACTTCTGGGTTCAAGCGATTCTGCTGCCTCAGCCTCCCAAGTAGCTAGAATTACAGGCGCATGCCACCATACCCTGCTAAGTTTTGTATTTTTAGTAGAGATGAGGTTTTACCATGTTGGCCAGGCTGGTCTAAAACCCCTGACCTCAAGTGATCCACCCACCTTAGCCTCTCAAACTGCTGGAATTACAGGTTTGAGCCACTGCATCTGCCCCATATTTCTGTTTTGAAAAAGAACCTCCCCTGAACCTCAGCCTTTCCATAGAGCCCCTGACTTTTATTAGCACTAGGGAATCTATTGAAAAATTGGTTTCCTTGAAAAAACAAACTCACAGCAATGGCAAATTGCGAAATGTGGATTGGCAAACATACTAATGAATAAAATCATATTCAAAAGGTTGGTGTATATGAGATTTTTCTCCCCTAAAACCCAGGAAAATAACTGCACTTTATTAATACAGAATAATCACATATTTACCTGCTCATGAGACTATCAACTCACTTTTTAATATAAAGAACATAATTATCACTGAAAAACAAAAATGTAGCAACATCATTATTTTTTTAAGCATGGATAATTTTCCTCTGGAAACTTGATAAATATATATATATATATGTATATCAAAAAAACAGCAATTTAAAATTATCCCCTTATATATTTTAAACTGAACCCGATGTCTTTACCACCATTTTGAAAGTGGAAGGTGCTCTCTAAAGGATTTCCCACTGAAGCGTATTTTCACCATGAGCTGATTAAGACAGTGCAGTTGTTTCCCCTTATTCATAACAAACATTTAAAAACAAACTAAACAATTCTAAAGTGAATTAAGTTGCTTACCTTTGAGCCTCGCTCATTAAAAATAATTTCAACATCTAAGATTTTACCAAATTGCTGCAAAGAAACAGAAATATCTTATAAGCAAGAAGAGAAATGCAGTAGTTACTATGTACACTGGTAACTGTTTCCCATGTCAATTTTTTCCCCTCTTTGAATATCAAGGATACACATTTTATGGTTTATGGTTAAGTAATGTGCTCGAAACGAGAGCAAAATACAACCACACATAGTATCTCCTTATGAAAGGCACCAGCAGGGATTTCATAGAAAATATTTATCAAGAGGTTAATTCTCTTTTTCTTTTTTTCTGTGTGTATGACTGCTTTCCCAGGCACTGATGCAGCAAACATGAAAAGTGGCTAGTATGTATATACAATGAGCCTTCTGGTCTAGCCACTAAACACTAGGAGAAACACCCTTGATGAAGTGTGATTTTGATCATCAGTGTCCCACAGGAATTTTAAGTGACTGGCTTCTAGCTCACAAAAAAATATAGGAACAGCTCAAACATATGAGAGAGGAAGTACAAACACAATAGCAAACTCCACTATCCAGGTACCCATCATAATCACAGTATTAGCAGTTGTGATCAGTGCTTGGGCTGAAATTCTCACAAGATAATTCTCCATATTGTTAAACAAACAGATTTTAGACAACTAGCATGAATAGGCTCTATCAAAAGTCCAGAAACAAAGACTCTGATTATAAATAAATTATAGACAAATAAAATGCAGACAGCCAGTTACATTTAAATTTCAGATTTTTCAGGATATGTCACACACAATATTTGGGACATACATATGCTTAATAAAATAGTTGTTTATCTGAACGTCAAATTCAATGATTGTGTCTTACATATTTTTAAATTTGTGAAATCTGGGAGTCCAAGGTTGAAATGCACATCAAGCAGTTGTTGATTTGCATTTCAAAATGGGGAGCATGGGCCCTGAAACTAGGGGTCTCGGATCATCTGCAATCCTTTCCTCCAACCTTGGAATATTTTCCGTTTTCTGAGATCATGTGAAGGAGTGTGGGCACTTCTTGAGTGTAATAGCCTACCCTGCATACAAGCAGGTGAGAGAAGGTGATTTAAAATCATGTACCGTGGCCCAAGGAAAAATAAAATGGGAATTCTACCTCCATGCAGAATGAGAGCAAATGCCCTTCAAGTGATTAAACAGGGCAACATAAATATTTCCATTCTCTTTTGTTTTGAGCTTTCCTAGCATTCCATTTACTTTTGCATTCCGTATTTTAATTGCATCCTTTATGACCCTTGGAGGTTCCGTATTCCTTCTCTCCCCTGAGTGGAGAGCAATAAGCGTGCTTCTGTGTAGCAGAGGAACAGAGTGTGACTGGGGTGAGGGGCAGGATGAACAAGAAATCAACAATAAGACCACAAGAAAAGCAGGGGAGGCTTGCCTGACCAATGTGTTTCTGTCACAGAGTATCCAGAGATGCAGAGACTGAAAGTCAAGAGGGTCCCACTCATATTCAAGAAACAACTTATTTAGAACATACAGATGCTATCCTCTGCAATGTACAAAGAAAGCTACACTCCCCAGAATAGCAAGAAAAAAAAATGTGTATTTCACTTGAATACAGACAGCTCAATCTTGAAATAAAAATAGTTCTGATTATGGGAAAAAGTAACCAAAAGTGTGTCACTCTGTGCCATAGAAATGTTCCCGTTCCTCAGGATCCACACACTGTCCAGCCACGGGAATCACAGACGTGCATTTTTCTGGTTGTGAAATAAAGAATGACTAGTACTTCTGCTCAAAGAAGCATACGAATAGGAAGAAACAAAGGAGAAAATACTCCGAAGAGAACATGGAAAGGGGTGACATTGCTGGCACGCACCATGGAAACACCAGAAAACATGCAGCGAACTCATCCTGCAATCTGTGGACTTGGATCTTTTGGTCAAGAGAATATTCCTTTACAGAGCATTTTCAGTGCCCTAGTTTTAGGCTGAGGAAAAAAAAAATCACTGAAAATAGAAGAAAACTTTCAGATTGGGGAAATGACGGATTTGCCGTTCAAACGTGAATTGAATTTCATAGTAAAGAAACCTCCAGTTTTGTGAACTCCCCAAGCAGTAATTTTGATACAATCACCCTAGAATATTCAGTCTACACAGACACCATCATATTTATTTCAGGCATAAGAGCCTAGAAGCACATATATTTGCAGAAAGAGAAGCTTGAAGAGGACTTCTTCCAAAACCACGATGCAACTGTCGTCTATGGGACCTTCTCTAGGCAGTCAACCCAAAAACATTTCTTTCAAAATAGGATCTGACGGAGACAGAACCAATCAAACAGCAATCTTAACATGTGTCTTTCCCTGAATGAAACAATGACATCAGATGCCCTGAAACAGTATCCAAGTTTGCTTCTGTGGCCCTTGCTGTTAGGCTGATGGTTCGCAAAGCCGGTGAAACAAGTCTGAAGAAGAATGCTGATGTAAGCTCCATTTCCAAGACAGGTTTGTACTATATTTATAGTATCAACAGTTTAATTGGGAAGTTTGCTACTAATGATGTAAACACAGCTGGTACATTTTCAATTTAAATAGACACGACTCATTCGCAGACATAACTAGCATTTGTTTGCTCAACAGCAATGTTCAGCTGCATTCAACAACACCTCAAATCCACACAAAGGTGTCTCAATAGCTGTTATCCAGAACAGGATCCAGAAACTTACAGGCACACACTTGGGCAAATATGTGCCAAGCATTTTTAGGCATTCTCAGATCAAACAATATTTCTCTGAAAAACTGTGGAAGATGCTGAACGGATACAGCATAAAACATGAAAGTAAAGGTTAGTTCCAAGAGTGTGCATAGAGGCCACGGAAAGGCATCATCCCAGTTTTTCTTAGTGTCAGCTTCATGTTCAGAGTACAGAAGTAGAGGGAACCATGCCGTGTCTCCCCATAATGGCTTCACGCCTCATAACATTCTGGTAGATATAACTTTGCATTAACATTGTAAGTACAGACAAGCCCGTCTCATTACTAAAAAAAAAGGGATTTTGAAATTTTCCTTTGCATGTGCTAAAAGTCATGTGATCTGTTTTTCTGTGATAATAAAGAGAGGCTTCAGGGGACCACTTTCCTGGGGCCCTATTTAGTTTTCTTGTGTGTCTGGACATTATTGTTTAAACAATAGAAAGAGAGTCTCCCTATGTTACCCAGGCTGGTCTCAAATTCTCGAAGTAAAGCAATCCTCCCACCTTGGCCTCCCGAAGTGCTGAGATTACAGATATGAGCTACCATCGTGCCCATCCAAGAGGGGTCTGTATTTTGATCCCTAGAGTAAGGCTGTGAAATCAAGAAAGTTGTTGTGTAAATTCGAGAACTCTACTCATTAAGCAACTGTTTCTGACAATCCAGTGATGGCATCCAGAAGATCCACCCATCTGTTGTAGCAGAGGTCTGGATATATCACAGTCCACTTCTCTCACTTAAAACCCAGAATGTTTAAATTTTAAATGTTAAGTTAAACATTCTTAATATTGCAATTAATTTGGTAGAAATCCTTATGTTCCTCTCTTGGGATCATCAAATATTGATTTGTAAAGAAAATGCGTGCTCATGTATGACACCTAAGGTGAAGACACAGCTCAAGGAAAAAGTAGCAGGATGTAAAACTACTATTCCTTCCAGTGAAACATCTAGTGCCAATGTCACTGCATATAACAGATCCATTCACTTGAACTTCAGCTGGTATTTTTAAAAGACTGTGACTTCTGCTTTGTATATTGTAGCCATAAAACATCTTGCCCAAGGAGTGTTCCAACTCAAAAGAAGAAAAAAAAGACATATAAGACGAGCTAGAGAATTTAATGCCAAACATGGGGACAAATGCTTCCAAAGAGTAGAAAGTAAAGAATAGGAAGCATGAAGGGGAAAAGGTAATCAAGATTCCAATCTTTATGAAGAAGTGCTGAAGATACAAACTGAAATAGGAGTCACCTGCAGTAACCATCAGGCATGCAATGGCTGTAGATGGCGTGGTGGAATTATTAATGGTTACAGACATTGTGACCATCACTGCCAAGTTTTCAACAGTTTGAAAAAGGAGGTTGCTTTTGTGTCTTGTGTTGCTTTTGACTTTGAAATCCTATGCCTGGATTTAACAAGAGACGGAGCAGGGGAAACGCACAAAGATCTTCGTGACTGTCTCTAATTGTCCTCACTGTAACCTCTGCCAAAGTGTGAAGACGAAGACAGGATAGAACACCAAAAGGACAGAAGATGTCTCATGTCTAGATGATGTGAGAAGCACCTAGTTGGAGTGAAACTGTAACTTCTTGCAGTAACTATGACCTGAAAGAGGAAACCCTCCTAAATACCCTATACTGCACTGCAGGGAGCCATTGAGAGTGTTTACAGATGCTTCATAATGTGATTCCTGCTGCTAAATGTATCAAGAATGGCTCTGTGACCACTGATATTTGGCAGGAAAGAACAGATTTTTAGTGTATAAAATTCTATTTCTTTAGTATGGTAGTTGTAAACTAAGGAGGTTTGAGAGTCATTACAAGGGAGTCCATGAATGCACACATTCCTGGTAATTTTATAGACAAAATTTTTGATAAAAAAATCTTGCATGCATTTAAAAATGGACAGAGATGCTGTTTGTGATGAACAAAGTTTAGTGCTGCTGAATGCATGGCACATTGTCTTAATTGATGGGTATTAAGTGTATTTATCATCTTGTCAAATTGACATCTTGTCAATTTTTTGAAAATCTTGACTTTATGTGGTGGTGCACGCCTGTAGTCCCAGCTTGTCAGGAAGCTGAGGCACAAGAATTGCTTAAACACAGGAGGCGAAGATTGCAATGAGCTGAGATCATGCCCCTTCACTCCAGTCTGGGCAACAAAGTAAGACTCTGTCACAAAACAAAACAAAACAAAAGTGGAGTCGGGGGGTGGATGGGTGCAGTGGCTCAACATCTCATGCTGTAATCCCAACACATTGGTAGGTCAAGGCGGGAGGGGTGCTTGAGATCAGGAATTTGTGACCAGCGTAAACAACATAGTGAGACACCATCTCTATTTTAAAAAATACTTAAAAATTAGCCCAGCATCATGGTTGTGCCTGTAGTCCCAGCTACTTGGGAGGCTGAGTTGAGAGGATCACTTGAGCTCAAGTGTGTAAGTTTTCAGTGAGCCATGATCACACCACTGCACTTGAGCCTGGGTAACAGTGAGACCTTGTCTTTTTAAAAAGTGCTCAGAATGTGGTAGGTTTGGATCAAGTTTTTATGACAGTCAGTATAACTTTTTGGCAAGATCTCACTCCTTCTTGTCTATCCTACCCCTATAAGACTGGAGAGAGTTAGGATCCCTTCTCAAAATACTCTGTGAGTGTTCTGAATACCTCTGTGATGTAGCATTGTAGCCTGCCATAACTTTCAAGATAACCAAGATGACCAGGGGGAAAAGTACCCTTAGGGGTGGAACTTGGGGTGAGCCACCACGAGTGACACCATGAAAGAGTGTCAGGACGGTCATTAAGGGGACCGAATTCAAAGCCAACATCACAGTGACACCTGATGAGAAAAAAAAACAAACTGCATAGCAGGACATCTTGCTAACCTGACATGGCAAAGAGAATATAGCTCCGCTTACTGCCCATCATTCAAACTTGGTCTTACTGCCTCGCACACACTTAACCTCGACTCTCACTTTGAATGCTCTGCACTTTTCAAAGTCATCTTTGACCTGAAAGTGCCCGAGGGTATCTCTGTTCTGCAGGAGTTGGAGGGCTCAACTCAAGGTTATTACCAAATGAGAGAGATAAAAGTGCAAGAGCTGACCTTTTCCTCTGAAATGTCAGCATTCAAGGCTCGGTATCTTAAATATTAGGATGCTTGTTCTGCTTCTGTGTCAGATGCATACTTGATAAGCATCATGTGTGTATAAGAAGTAAAAGGTGCAAGCTAATCCCCAACTTGCAGTGCCTTGGAGTAGTGAACCTGAGCCTCCCATTTTAAATGGAGAATGACACCAGTCTGGCTCAGAATGAGGCATTCAAGTTGGGCATTTTCTTGTTCCTGTTTTAGTATTTACATCCATTTATAAACTTAGAGGAAGAGTTTCTCTGAAGCCCACCTTTGGGCTGCTCTAAGTCAAATGTTAAGGATGTGGTTCTTTTCACTGAATCCACAGGCACCTGCTATCGCTGCTGGGATGTCATGGACAAATCGGCTACATTTGCAAACATGAATGATAATCAAGCCCTGCCATAGCTTTGTCCATTGGTGGAACGGAGCTAAAAGAAATGGCAAACTTATGGCTTCCCAAAGTGGACAGTGAAGATATCGTCCAGAAAAAAAACAATTAGGGACAAGACGACCTATAAAAAACCAATGCTATTACAGCTAGTGCTCGACTTGCTACCACGATTGGTTCCGACAGACCGGTCGTAACACGATTTGGTCGTAAGTTGAGTAGGCTATATGCATGCAGAGATGGTAGTGCTGCCGGAAGCTGGTCCGCACCATCGTACGCCCAGCTGGGCAACGTCTGCACTGCCAGACGCGGAGCAGTCGTGGCTAGCGATTGTGGTCGTAAAGTCGAATGGTTGTAAGTTGCATAGGTCGTAAGTCGATCAATACTTGTACTTTCTCCTGGGTTAGTAGTAACTTCTGGCCTGCTCTGTGTTTCACCATGGTGCCTGGGCAAGGTGACCCTTCGTGGTATGTGGCATATAGCACCACAGTAAGTACCTCTCAATCCTTGTCACTGACTTCAGGAGAATGTAGACTGCAGGAATCAATATGGACTTAGAAACTGCTAGCTCATTTGGTGTTGTTGGTGGTGGTTTGTTTTGTTTGCTAAACTCAGCTTTATGCAGAATTGTTCTCTGCCACTGCATCTGAAAGCTAAATGCACAGTGCCTGGGAAAGACTAGGAAATGCAGCAGTACACCATGAGTCGCCCTCTGGATAATTTGACAACTGCAACAAAGAGGACTTGCTGTGTATTTTAGCTACAGTATAATATCCTGGGCCATTGAATTTGGGACTACCAGTGGGCTTTTTTCAACAGTGGGTCATCTAGGAGTTTCTTTTCCATTTGGGCCTTCGAATTACTCATTAGAAGAAAACCACTTGGCAAAGGAGATACATGGTAAGCATTATGTATAGAAATACATGCTAAAACCATAAAGAGATTCTAGCCACAAAAAACTCGCAGACTAGGCCCTAAGAGGTTTCTCCCTATGTAAACATCTAACCTTAGTATTGTAAATACTGCAAACTTACATGAGACAGGGAGGTCTCTGGAACCTCCAGAGCGAGCAGTGCTGAGAAGAGAGGTGGTACTTACACCAAACATTTGTCTGAGGTCCGGATCCCGGAACCTGAAGGGGATGTTGGACACATGCAGCCGCTTGGGCTGAGACTTGTTTTCCGTGTTTTCAGAAGGTTGTGTCTGGGGCTGGCCATCCGTCGGTGCTGCGTCATCTGTCTGCTAAAAGAACAAGGAGAGACATCGAAGAGGCTCTGAGTGGACCACAATACTATGTTCCAATGCACTTTAGCTTCCCTAAAGCCAGAACCAAGGAATCGGAGAGAGGAAGGAACTGCTGAGTCACGCATGCATTCATTCATTCATTCAACAAGTGTTTTCTGAGCATCCACTGAGTGCTAATCATAAATCTGGGATTGGGCAGTGGGCAAAACAGACAAAAATCACTTCCCTCAGGGAGCATCATTCTCATGGGGGCAACACAGACAATAAATCCACTGATTATAATAGAGACTTGGAAGACAGAGAAAAGCATTAAAGACTAGAAAAAGCAAAGGGAGGCGACTGGGAATTGCTGGGTTGGGAGGTGGGGAGTGGGAACCTCATCAAGAAGACGGTAATAATTATTAAAGGTAGAAGAATGTGTATTTCTTAACTGGCGCTCTTCCGAATCTTAAGATATGCCTACATAATTGTTCGGGCAGTTGTGCAGATAAAATATCATTAAACATAAACAATTTGAAAAGACTAGTTGACATTCTGGAGTTCAAATAACCAGCTGACTGACTTAGACTTTTAAGGTTCTAATTGCACAAACTTGCGCTGTCCACTATAGTTGACCACATGTGACAATTTACATTTAGTGAGTTAAATATTTAATGTTGTTGGCATTAGCTGCATTTCAAGTTTGCTCAGGAGCCACGTGTAGTGAGTGCTTCCGTATTGAATAATGCAAATATCAAACTTTTCCATCTCTGCAGAAAGGTCTGTTGTGCTCTTTGCCTAGACCCTGTAACATTACTAGCCTAACTCACTGATTCATCACCCCTCTCCTCCAAATAAGGCTGTATAACACTGCGTTACATTGACACCCGTGTATAGGCAGGAACTCGGGGAAAAGTCATAGTAACATTTGGTATCATAGCCACTGTCATACAGTTCTAGAGTTCTAACGTTTCATTGAACGTTTGACACTTTCTCTGCAATTAGCATGTGTCACCTCTGGGTGGCAGTAAACGCCATCCACATCAGATACCCACTTTGAAACTATGATAGAAAGCTTATGCGGAAGCCTATCAAATTGGAATGAGGGATCATCCTGACCTATTTATCAGCAATCTAGAAATACATAATTGGGACAAAACTATCAATGCAGGCAGCCAGGTGTAAAATACTAACGACTTAGAGAAGGAGACACTCTTCCAAAGTGAAATACAAAACAAGCACCCAGATAACATGGGCATAATTCGCAAGCTTCTCACCAACCCTGGTGTTTATTGGAAGGTTTCATTTGCATTATCCTTCCTGACACAGCCTGAATTGCATTTTGAAATAAAGACATCCCGTTGGCTGCTGACCATTCTTCTAGGCTGATGTGGTATCAAAAGCCCTACCAGATGATTCCTTCAACTTTGAAGTGCAAAGTCATCATGACAATATTTAGTCATTTTGTCTATACTGTTGCATTAAATAGGAAGCAGTACCACCATACATTTTTGTTAACTGGAAAATAAAAAATAATGAGTTCACACCTTCCAAGGCTTTGTGATTAAATAAATAATGTGTACTAACTTGGCCAAGTTCCTGGCATGTATTCATTAAATGGAAAGTAATGAATTATTTAGACTGATGGTAATTTTTTTTAATACCAAAAAGAGGGATAAAGTTTTTTTGGGAAACCCGCAGAAAAGGCTGTCATCTGCTTATTTTTAAAGTGTTTACACATGTTTACAGAGCAACTGCTTTGTGTTGGGCACAGAAATCAGCCCTCCAGGTCACATGCAATTCCTACTTTAGTGAATGACAGTGATAGAGAAAGATGCTCATAGACTCATTTTGTTGTTGTTTTCTTAGAGTTGGCTCTTCCTCTGTCACTCAGGCTGGAGTGCTATGCCACAGTCATGGCTCACTGCAGTCTTGAACTCCTGGGCTCAAGGGATCCTCCCACATCAACCTTCCAAGTATCTACAACTACAGGCATGCACCACCATATCCAGCTAATTTTCATTTGCAGAGACAGGGTCTCACTATGTTGCCCAGGCGGGTCTTGAACTCCTGGCCTCAAAGGATTTTCCTGCCTTGGCCTCCCAAAGCAGCGTGACTGCAGGCATAAGCCACCATCCCCAGCAGATACAGACGGCTAAATGTTGGGATAAGAGGCAATCACAAAGGGCTGAATAACCTTAAATCAGGGTCATACCACACTGTGGAAGGTTCAGCAAAGCTTGCCAATTCTGGAGGTAAAATTTTAGGTGGGAGATGTCTAAGAGAAGAGGAGGAAAGGACTGAGGCTATCCCAAGAGAGGGCAGAGATATGCAGAGATGGGAAATGATGTCTTGGATGCAGCAGAGTACGTGCGGACTTCAGCACCACTGGTTAGAGGAGGCATGGACAAAGGAAAGGCAGGAGGGCAGATTTCAGAGGTAGTCAGGGGGTTAGATAAACGACCCTGTGTACAAAGCAAGAGTTTCAGCTTCATCCTAAAAGCAATGAGGCGCCACCGAAGGATCACAGCAGGAGTCTGGTATGACCAGCTTGTGACACAAATGATACATGTCTGTTTAATGGTTGGCTGACTCACTGACCAAATGAATTACTAGTGCATGAATAAACGAATGAAGAAGTGGACAATCAATGTTGCCACCTTCGTGTGATCGTTGAAGAGCAACACTGTAACAGTGAAACCCAAACAGAGCAGAATCTGGTTTTCTCCAGTGGGAATATGAGGTTTGGTGCCATGTCCATGACACAGGAGCTTGAATCACTCAACTGTCACTTTTCAGAGGGTAAGGAGTTTTAGTACTCTGCATCAGACTTGGAGTTTGCAGATGCTGCAGCTGAAACCCCAAGCTTCTAGTACATTTTTTTCCATCCTGTTAGACATTCCTGTTTAAATGCAAAAATGAAATGAGCTCCTCCTTATCCTGAGAAGAAACTCTAGATTTGGATTTGTGTACAACTGCTGGATGTTTCAGTTTAATAAACCTAATTAGGAATTACAGAGATTATGATTAAACATATTAAATGATTAATAGCATTATGCCGCTCACGTGAAAATTAAAATTAATCATCTCTAGTCAAACAGGACTTTGGAGAAATCTTTGTGTTGTTCCCTTTGATAAAAACATACAATGCTCAATTAATCATTTTCCAGTGTATGCTTATATATAAATGCCTATAAATTGTTATGGAGAAATACCTGTGTGTTAAAAAGAATTCTTAAAGCATGTAAAATAAAGTAAGCCAAAAGTGTTTCAGATCACTGTGGCCATATGGAAAGGGAAGAGGAGGAGTGTTAGGAAAGAGAAGTTGAATGAGGAAGAAAACAGAAAAAGGAAACCTCTTTAAGCCTGCATGCCTTTCATATATTGACATGTAGCACAAAGAACCAAGGTTTTGGAATCACGCAGACGATCTCTGTTATTTGCTGATCTTACGCATGTCACTTTTCCTCCCTAAGCCTCAGTTTACTCTTCCAACAAAGGCCATTAATAGGGTAATGGGGTCAGGTGCAGTGGCTCATGCCTGTAATCCCAGCACTTTGGGGCCTAAGGTGTGAAGATGGTTTGAGACCAGCATTCAACATAGTGAGACCTATCTCCACTAAATAATTTTTTTAAAAATGAGCTGAGCATGGCCATGTGCCTGTCATCCTAGCGACTTGCATCCCAGCTATTGCACCTGGCCATAAGAGTTATGTTTTGCTCTGAAGTGATACCCACCTGAATGGACATGACCAAATTTGGGAGATCGGAAGGTGGGATATAGCAACACATTCTCCATTTGGAGAATGGAGGAAATTGAGGGCAGTCAGTAAAGCAAGGGTGTTAGAGGTGGAAGGGAAAGTGACCAGGGACATCCCCTTCTCAGAGGCTTCCAACTGGATCCTCATTGGATCTCTGGGTCTATAAGCTTCAGTGTTCTCTTCCCTCACCTGCTGCCTGTTTTCCATTCTTGCTCGTTGGCCTCTTGGCTTTTCCTGGCCCCATCTTTGGCCTTTGCAATCATTCTGTCTTTCCCTAGGACACCATTTGCCCTCATGCCAGTATGATCTCTGCCCAGGTGCCAGTCAATGGAGAAACCATCACTGGCCCCATGATCTACAACTCTGCACCAGCATTTTCTCTCCCCTTGACCACTGATTTCTTCACAGCACACATCTCTTCTTGCCTTTTTATTATTTTATTCTGTGATTTCGTATATTGCCTATCTTTTCCACCAGGATGTAACTCCAGGAGAGCAGAGACTGTGGCTTTTCTGTTCACTGGAACACTACCACTACTGCAGGGTTCCTCAATGTCAGCTCCATTGACACCTGGGGCTGGTTCATTTGGATGGGAGAATCATCCTATGCACTGTAGAATGTACAAAGGCATCACTGGCCTCCACCTGCTAGAGGCTAGTCATCTACCCCTGAGTTGGAATCAAAAAATATTTCCTGGGTTTCAAATGAATCCTGGGAGGCAAAACTGTACCACTTGAAACTGCTGAACTGGAATCCATGGTGAGTTCTCAATAAATACCTGCAGTGTAAGTGACTAAGCCTGGTTTGACCATGAGTGAGCTGCAAGACTGCTAACTTCATGTCTGTGGGTCTCGGTTTGCATATATATAAAACGATAAATGCAGGCATCTCTGTGATGCTTTAGAGTAAGATGACACCCAAACCTTTGTGAATGGTTAAGTCCTGTGCATAAAGAGAGGATGTTATAATTATGATCACTATTAACAGTATTAATAACCATCAACTTTTTTTTTTTTTTCCTGAGGCCCATGCACAACTCTGAGATGCAGCCTCCCCATCAAGCAGGAAAGGCTGCAGGACCCTACACAGACGGGAATTCCATTAACCTCAAGGGGTAGCTTTCCAGGAGGCACTTGGCAAAGCCTTCCTCATAAGCTCATTAGAACCACAGTGCTAGCTTCTGCCCAGGCCCAGTGTGAAGGTCCTATTAGGAGGCGGAATATGTGCTGCAGAATTTTTCTTAATAAACAAACTCCC